ATGCCTGTCTTATTTCTCTGTCATAAACAAACATACGTATGCACACATCTCTCTACCCATTGATTTCCTCCTTTCCTTTCCTTTCCTTTCCTTTCCTTTCCTTTCCTTTCCCTTCCCTTTCCTTTTTTTCCATCAGAACACAGCAACCTACCTCATCAGCTTACTGTGAGGCTAGAGCTGACAAGCAATACTTATCAGAAAGGTCAGCTGAATTTTGAATAGCAAAACTAACCAAGTTCAAAGGAAAGTCATACCCAAAAAATAAAGCCCTATTCAAGCAATTCCTATGCCTGCTTGTCCACACTGTCTGGCCTTTATGCTTAATGGAGATGCAAAACCATTTTTATGCCACAAAAAAACAATAAAGTTCAAAGAAAAATGCTGCATGTGATAGAGGCTGGCTTCTCATCAAAACTATTAAATGGCTCCACTACTTTACAAATCCTGGTGTGTATATTTAATGAATTTCATGACAGATAAGTCTTTACAGGCTACTTTTCATTGAGCCATTATATTATCCAAGTTCACTCACAACATGAAATTGATGTGGTTTGGTTTTGGTTTAACATGACTTGTGAACTAGTCCATTATACAGTAGCTGTGCATTATATGCAAACAGTGCTATTGTAACTTGTTTAACAAACAATGCTTTAAGAAATCTATTTTAATTTTATATTTTTAATGCAGCTATTGTTTCCCGTCCAGGGGACAAAAAAGCTCTGAGGTCAGCTTTGATTTTATTGATAAGATTATCTCAGATACTTCTCTCAGGTTTCTGTTCTAATGATATTTGTTCCTAATCACAACATCAAAATGATGAAACGTGCATCATGATATGATAATGTAAGCTCTTCCCTTTTCAGACTTGCATCATGATGTCACACGGAAACACATAAGGGATACAATTTGTATTGTAATGCTGAGACATGAGTTTTGACACTTGCTCCTCTTTACAATTTTTAATGAAGGTGCCTACTGCCCTGCAGGAACCATTCAAGAAAATAACGTGTGCTTAGGGTGCCAAGCAAAAGAGGTACCCCAGTTTTTTCCCCTAGTTGTCATGCCTATAATTCTTTCACTGCTACATTCATATTTAATTTTTGGCACATTGAGTCTTATCACTTAAGCCCTGGAAGAGTTGAGGGTTACCACTGTTGGCCTATCTTAGAACATCTGGGTGCCTATACTCTGCTTCCTCGAATTACGACCATTTCCTTTCAGAATTACCCCTTATGGCTTGTATATATGAAATAAGTTTCACCCTCACTTTCTCCCTAAAAAACAAATTAGCTGAAATGTAAGAGCTGCTGTGCACAAACATATACTGTATAGAAACTAGTCTTTGTTTAATAGGAACAGTGACCAGACCACAACTGTGGCAAAAAAAAAAGGAGTTTCAAAAAATTTGAAGCATTTCTCAAATCATCTATATGGCAAATTGCAGAGAGATCCAAAGCAAGAACTTGCAATTAAACCCAGTAAATTCACTGCTGAAGCACTAGTTGTATTGTTGGGTAGAGCAAAACCCATCAATAATCCTATAGAAACCGAATAGTTATGGAGTAGGCTATTCAATTAATGAAAGATTATACTGAATAAGCCTGTTTTTAAGGTGCTACGAAATGTATTGTTGTTGCAATCAGGGCTTCAACCACAATCAAATTCAGAAAATTCTGATACAGTATGGTCATGGGCAGCGGAAGTGACTTCTACACTTAGATCCAGTCTGGCAAAAATTAGGAAGCATTCTCCATTGGAAAAGATGAGAGTTAAAGGGAAGGAGAGGAATTCGGTAACCCAAATTTTCATCAGGAACAGATTGATTAAGGTTGCATCTATTTGACAATTTGCAGATGCCATTATTACCGAAGGATAATGATTCCAAAGGATTTCACTTACGTATACCCATGCATCACATGTTCCAAGAGTTTTCAATGAACTCTATTTTTCAGAATTCATATATGAAATCTTGATCTCCAGCATTTATCTGCTGTTAGTGGGGCAGCAAAATCAAAATGCCTAACCTGAGTCAGGAATATGGGAACGATACATTGACCACAAGGGTTTTCCAATATTGTTTTTTAAATCTCTTTTCCGTATTAGCAAATAGAAAGTCTGTAATTACATTTTTATCCTTTATGGAAATAACTAATCCATATCTATCATATACCAGTTAATTTAGATACCCCTAGTGATAAATCTAAGGAAAATGCTAACGAGCATAAGAATGATATATAAAACAATAAGGTTTTGGTTGTGCCAAATTTCAGTACCCTACAATATCCTGTTGTTCAGAGAACATAAAAATATATTTTGACTTTGGTTTCGCCAAAGGAGTGAGCAACTGCTGATTACTTTTATAGCAAAAAATGACACTACTCTCAACCTTACCATCCACTTACCAGGCAAATGACCTGATCACTGAGAATAATTCACATGGAAACATTTTGGGAGAAGAGAACCAATTTCAAAATCTTTGCAGTGCTCAGCCTAACAAGCTCCCTAGATTTAAATAAATACCATGCAGACTGAAAAAAAAAAAAACTTCCGTGCTAAAGATATCTCTTTACGTTAAGCATCGTAGGAAGGGAATCATACCAATTTATGGTAGTAAAAAAATCAGTCTCGTAGCACCTTTTCCAACTATTGAATTTTATTAAAAATAAATATCATAAAATTTGTTAGATGAAAAAGTTGCTCCCAAATTCTTTTTCTGAGACTTTGTGAAGAGTTACAAACATTCCTGAACATAGATCAAGAAGCTATAATCTATTCAGAATATTTCAAGATGTTGCAAATAAGAATTTAATGAGTGAATGGGTGTGATTCCCTACTATTCATCTTGTCAAGCTATCACACCATGCAAGTCTATATACTCTTAAAACCAGTGGGGTATATTCATAAATAACTGCACTTCAGTGCTTAGCCCTAAATTAGTTGCTATGGCATTATTTGCATCACGTATGTGGCATATGGTTGAGAAGCAAGATGGTTATAAAGCAGCTACATTAACAGAGGGATTTAGGACTGGACAGCTGGAGGGACAGGCTCCTACAGCTACTAAAAACACCAGTCCTGGTCTCAGAAGTATGATATTCCAACTCTGATGGCATAGCAGATGCACAGTTCAGGGATATAGAATCCACAGCTTATTCTTATAAATTGGGTTCATATAATTTTTGTAATGCCAGCTGATTCCTTTAGTTGAAGACAAACTATCATTCCTACAGTTGCTTTAGCTTAATTAGTTTGAACATTAACCCTGGCAGTTATCACAGGATTAAACTTCAGCCCCCAATTTCAAGAAAAATAAGTAAAATGCCTTATTTTTCATGAATAGATGAGTCAAGGAACACCAGGCCCTTTTATACAGTGTAGACCTAGTGACTGGCTATAATTAAAAATCCAGATCTCAAAAAAAAAAAAAAAATCTATGGCAGCTTAGTGCAAAAATAGGTTTTTTTTTCCACAGCTGCTTTTTCCAAATTGCTTGACTTCAATATAGAGTAAACTCTGTACAAGCAAAAGAAGACTATAATAATAGTTTAACAAAAGCTGCAAGCTTTGAAGGAGATTTAATGGCAGCAGTCCTATAGGATGATGTAAAAAAATAAAGACTAAATCTCAGCAGTATATGGACAAGACATAAGCAAAATCTATTTTTGTGAATTGCCCAGCTTATTATAAAGAGAAAAGATGAAATAAAATGATTTTAAAATCCCTTTTAAAAGCCTCCAACATGCACACTGCATATTTATAATTGTTTACCAAAGTAATCTTACATGTGTTAGCCAATAATTAAGTCCTAAATCATATGTATATGATATTGCATATACAAAAAAGAATGAATTTAACACATTTTATATTTAAGAAATTGCAGTAGGCATTCAAATCAGATTGACTAACATTTTCAGTCTTGGCATATAAACCAGCTGGTGTGGTGCACTAGAGATTATATAACTCTTACTCATAATAAATTATACCCGCTTTTCATTAACAATAACACAAACAGCAGGAGCATTTCTATTCTTGCTGTGGAATCAATATCTTTGCTACCATCTCTAACTGCTATACAGTACCACGGTATTCTATTTTAATCAAGATCAATTATAGATTAATTAAGCAATAATTAACAAAAAAGACTGACCCAAGGCATTTGATGCCTGAGATGTACCCAAATTACCACACCATGAGGACTGCTCCCAGGCCAAAGGACAGCTACTTGTAATCTTTGGATGAATGGCAAAGTCCCAAACTTTAACACAGGATTTTATAACACATGACATAAAATGAGTGTAACTCAGAGTCACGTTTCTTGCTTAACAGTCGCTATTTCCAAGACTTAATGATCCATCTAACACAATCAGATGTTGTGATGGCTAATTATGTTTGTGCTATAAATGTAAACAGTTTGCTTCCAATTATCCTAGAATCAGCCATTTCCTCCACCCAATGCCAGGACTGAGGTTTAGTGACCGTTTAATGCCAAATAATGCATAAACACTCAGTAAATGCAACGTCTTCTGGCTCCCAACTGCTACTTTCTCAAGGAGTCCCAAAAGCAAGGCGAGTGCTGTTCAGTTATTTCTCCTCAGCAATTAATATTCAAAGAGAGAAGCAGGAGTTTCTGTTAACAGTTGCACATCGCTGTCAAACCAAAACGAGACTGGATTTATTTGATCCATCTTATAGCAATTCAAGCCACCGTCCTGTCTGCAGTCTGTCCATCGTATTTCATATTTCCCCCCCCAGTCTGAGAAAATGATTTTTTAATCTAAAAGTCAGTGGCAGAGCGAAACTTCATGCCAATCAGAAGGTATGCAAATGCATCAGGCAATGAGTGACATCAACTGAAATCGCGATGCCCGAAAAAAGTTTTTGTGTGATCAATGAGGTTTCTACGTTTTCTGGACATTGAAGCACTGGAATGATGCCCTTAATCAAGATGGCCGCTCCCCCACTCGGCTCTCGGGCATGAGGCAATTAAACCGGAACCGATCTTTCGCTTGTCTCGTTTTCCTTTTCTTTCCCCGGAAGTTATTGGGATTTTTCTGGCGTTTCCGATATGGACGTTGGGGCAAGAGGCGGGAGTCGTTGTTGTCGTTATCGTAACGATCGGGAATGGTGAGGTAATGCCGCTTCAGACTTTATAACATTCTGAGGTCTATTGAGATTAGGCAGAGAGAACAGCTTCGCTTCTTGGTTAGGAAACGAACGAGCGAGGCGGACAAGGGACGCATGCGCAAAAAGGCAAAGGGACTAGAACTGCGCAAGCGCTCTACTCTTGCTCCTTCTTCTTTCCCCCAAATTCTATCAATATGATTCGCTTGGGCTGATTAAATTCCCCTTGTTTGCATGGTTTCATTAATTGTGCATGATTCTGCCTTTTTAAGGTAGTTTTTCGTCTTCTAAATAAACGTTGGATCACAATTCCCATAAGGCCAACCTCCCGGAAGGCATAAAAAAATTAGGGAGGGCTGCCCAATTTTGAATAAGATTCTTTACTTCGGGATTTCTGTTTTCATCATACCACTCCTTTTCTTAACCTGATGTCCTCCCAATGAATTCCTATAATTTTTGATCACATAAATCGATGTCTGACACATCTCGAGGGCTCCAGATTAAAGAAGGCTGCATCAGTATAATAAAAATGGGAATTACCTAAAGCTAGATCAGTTTATCTGAAATTCTGAGCAAAGATTGTGTCTCACCATTGTACCACACTATCACATTTACTTGAAATCTATGTTTATTAAATATTATGTATTTCTTTTTAAGTCATGGAATAAAGCAGTGGCTTAAGTAGGGCTGGGATCTGGTATTTCTTTTGATCCAGAATTGGAATAGTGTCATGTTAGTAATTTATACACCTAAAGCAGCAGTTGTGACAGCACTCTTAAGCCACTTTGGTCTGAATATTGTATCATTTTATTCGGTATTATATTGATATCTTAGTTTTCTTCTGCTAGAGTGGATGGGAGACTATCCAGAAATCTCAGAATTGTAGAACTTGAATAGGCAACAACAAACTATTTCTGTATTCCTACCAAGGAAATAACATGGACAAAGTCATGTACCCATCAGGAATTGAACTTGATATATTTACTTTTAATTGGTCCAGCAAGTGGCAGCAACTGTTCATTAAATCAATCAACAAATTGATATTGAAATACCAAACAAGCTTAATGTTGTTAATACTTGGATAGGAAACTAGTATACTGTTTCAAAACTGTCCCAAAAACAAAACAGGAAATTGAAAAAATATCCTGGAAGAAGAAAAGTGGCAATTTGCTTTCATGCTGTTGCCAAATAAACAACATTCACATATAAACAACTTCATGTATCCATGAAGTCACCAGGAGTAACTCAAGAGCATCACTCTTTTCTGTTTTAAGAACTCAAGATGGTGTTTGTGGAACTCTCTCATTTTGTCTGTGGAGATTCTCGGTCATCCAAGTCATGGTTGTCCCAAAGGTGCTTTTTCAGGAGGCAACTGGACTTTCTTGTTTCACTTCTCATCCAAAACACTTCTTCAGTTCTGACTGGATGGTGGGGAATGCAAAGATTTATATTCCTTGCAGACAGTTGGTCATTTGCATTCTTTTAGAGCAGTGGTTCTCAACCTTTTTAATGCTGCGACCCCCAACCGTCGTAAATCAAGGACTACCCAACCGGTTGTAAGTCGAGGACTACCCAACCAGTCGTAAGTCGAGGACTTTCCCTGCCCGGGAGCGCCGCGCATGCGTGGTGCCGCCCCCTGCGCTGGCCGAGGCGTAGCTGGCAAGCGGCAGAGACGGCGCAGGCCGACCATCGGCTGGGCCACCAGCTGGCCCAGCCCAAGGGAGGTAAGGCACCTGCCGGGCCCCACGCACACCAGCAACCCTCCCTGCACCTGCCGGCCTCCCACCTCCCACCCCTGGCCTTCTTTTACTTACATTTTTAGTAGTTGCTCAGCAGGGAGGGGTGGAAACTTCCAGACAGCTCGCCTTCGCTGCAGACAACTTGCAGCACCGTTTGCAGAATGGGACTTTTGGCAGGCTCAGCAGGGCAGAGACAGCCTGGACAATTCCTATTGGCTTTTGAAAGCCAATAGAATTAGACTCTATTCAAGAGAGTCTATTCTATTGCTTTCAAAAGCCAATAGAATAAAAGGGAGTAGCACAGCTAAGGAAAAGGGGGAAAAAATGGCGGACTGCGTTGTTTGGCGACCCCCGTGAAATGGTCGTTTGACCCCAAATGGGGTCCCGACCCACAGGTTGAGAACCACTGACCTAATGACTGAGTCTCTAGAACAGGGGTCCCCAACCCCCGGTCCATGGACTGGTAGCGGGCCGTGGCATGCCAGCAACCGGTCTGCACAAAAAAGCAAAGCCCCATCCATGAGATGCAGGCAACACACAAAACCGTGCCCCCTCCGGTCCATGGAAAAACCTCTCTCCACAGAAACGGTTCCTGGTGCCCAAAAGGTTGGGGACCTCTGCTCTAGAACCAATTGTGGTTGCTAAACAAGGACTTCCTGTAGCTGCTCTTAACAGCCAAGCAGAACAGTAACCAAAATGGTTATGTCCACTGTTATCTTCCTTGAAAACTGTCATGATGGAAAATGTTTTCTGTGCAATACTAATTGTAGTAGTGGAGCACATTGCTTAGAATAATTTCCTCTGAAATCAATAATAGTAGATTCCCAAGCCAAAAATATATATTAGAATAAAGCGGGCGCTTAACTTGCTTTTAAGTTACATATTCCAAGTATGCAATTTCTTTTAGACTTCGGAGACTGCTGGTTAGCGATGAACCCATAATCGGTTTGCGCAAAAGGGCTTCCCTTTGCTTCCCTCTGCATCAGCTACCTAATAGACATGGCTGCAGTTTGGGATCCAATCAGAACTAGCCAGCACTAAGCACTAAATCTGCGCTCCTGTCTCTTGGCAGACACTTTGGATTCCAGACTGATGGCGTCGGGTACAGCTAGCCGCTCCGAAGACGAAGAGTCTCTAGCAGGACAAAAGAGAAGCTCATCGCAAGTATCCGGGGCCATTCCAAAACGACGTAGTTCATCCAGGTACTGTGATGGACATGGTTGGTTGGGAAGGTGATCCAGGGACAGGAGGACATCTGGCTTCCAAATGTGTCTTTTAGTTTGGAGAGTTGAGAATTTAAAATTTAGAAATACGGTGCTTTGTTGGAAACGAGCGCTAAAGTACAGATAAATGGACTGGATTATTTTCATACGCAGATGCAATGTGGCCATTGTTTTCTGAGGATGTTTGAGTAAAACCTATTGAAGTCGCTCTTTTTGGAGCAATCACAAAGCATTTTGCTTTCTCTTGATTTGCACCAATTACGTCAGGAGGTTGGCAACAGGCTGTCTGATCAAACTGTGGTCTCATGTTCGTTTTCCAGCCAAACTTGGTGGTTTCCCTTGATACTCCTTTAATTGAGAGAAAGGATGGAACCTTGGATATCACAAAATATACCAAAAATGACCAGATTTGTTCTCTTCTAGAAAGACATGGCAAACCCGCAACATCACGTGACATCGTGAGACGTATCAGGACAGTTTTGCCATTGCCTGCAATGGGGTGGGCGCGGCTTCCGGATGACGTGTCCAGCCCGCGGGCCGGCAGTTTGACACCCCTGTTCTAGGACATAAAATAAGCTGTGGTAGTACAGGGGTTAGAATGCAGTATTGCAGGCTAATTCTGCCTATTGCCAGCAGTTTGATTCTCACTGGCTCAAGGCTGACTCAGCCTTCCATCCTTCTGAGGTCAGTAAAATTAGGACCCAGGTTGTTGGGGACAATATGCTGACTCTGTAAACCTCTTAGAGAGGGCTGTAAAGCACTGTGAAGAGGTATATAAGTCTAAGTGCTAATGCTATTGCAGTAAAAGCAAAGAGAATAATTGTGTAATGTTCTTGCTGATTAGAGAACAGTTTCTGATTTTTTTTCAGGACATTTCATGGGATCAAAGGGCCTAGATGCTACTGCCCTAAGGAACAAGTTCTGTTCCTGTAGAGTTGCATGTGAATTATAAAATATATCTCAAACATTTTGACTACAGAGACATGTTCATGTAATGCATTAAATCCATCAGAGTATTTTATCCCCTATCCTCTGCAGATTCTTAACCACAGCTGATAGGTTTCCCACGATTAAATGTATTGTTTTAACCTGAAACAGTCACTACTTCCGGTCAGCACTAACCAGAATTCTACACCAACAATTAATCTTTGTCTCAAGTTCTTATTAGAGCTAACTGGAAAAAGTGGCTGCTCTTAATTACTGCAAAAATGTGACAATAAAATAGTTGCATGTGGTTGCATATTAATTAGCCTGAGTGATTGGGGATATTGTGCAAACCACGCACACACACACACACACACACACACGTACGGTTGTTAAAATGCTGGTTGACTTACTGGGACCAATTATACCCTATTCACACATAGCTTAGACTTTTCATAAAAGACTTGGTCCACAATTCTGTTAAGTGAAAGAATGTCCACTGAAGTCACCCATAACTCACTGTTGTTAAAGAAAGTAGCGGAGGGGGATAGCTGTTTCCTTGAGATTATGGCAATGCGGATGTTCGCCATTCTAGGTTCATCAAGCGGAAGAAATTCGATGATGAGCTGGTAGAAAGCAGCCTTGCCAAATCATCCAGCCGGGCCAAAGGCCCCAGCGGGGTGGAGCCGGGACGCTGCTCTGGCAGTGAGCCATCTTCTAGTGAAAAGAAGAAGGTGAGTCAGTGACTGATCTGCCTCATTGTGTTTCACTGAGGGAGGGCCTTCAGAAATCCCCTTATTGTTCTCCAGGCCACGCATAAGACAGTTTTACCGTAACATAACTAGGACTCTTTTATTGAATCCACATTCCAAGACAAAACTTCTGTGCGTAACTTAAAATGCATAGGTACGTGTTGAGAAATAATGGTGCCCAACATTTTAGTTCTTTTTTTTTCAGTCGTTTGTAAGTCTGATGGCAGTTTGTTTAGAAGCAGCTTCTTTTGTTTCTCTATAACTGACAATTCTAAAAGCTGGTCTGGTTTGAAATCCTCTTTCGTGGAATAAGCCAATCCTGCCAGGCAAAGTTAGATCCCTGTGTCCTTGTAGGAAAAGGGGACTCCAAGGGTTTCTACTTCCTGTCACCTCGCTTGCCTTCTGAACTTAAGGCCTACAGGAGACTCTTTTGAGTAAATGAAATAATCTTCCCTGTTCTGTCTCTTGCCCTATTTCTGCCACCTCAACCTTGCTAGGACTGGCCAGGCTTCCTGGATTGATTCCTGCCATCGCTTGCTCGGTTGCAATGATATATCTCTGAGCAGGGCAAGCAGAGGACAGGTCAAGATGACTATGACAGGTCAAACTGTCCCTGTTAGTAGCCTGACAGATATGCTGCAGCTAGTTCAAATGGGCAATTAGAGTAACTCAGGGGTAGGCATCCTTGGCTCTTTTATGACTCGTGGACTTCAACTCCCAGAATTCCTGAGCCAGCATGGCTTAGCATGGAAACCTCTCCATTTCTCCTCAGCATGGCTGGCTCAGGAATTCTGGGAGTTGAAGTCCACGAGTCATAAGAGAGCCAAGGTTGCCTACCCCTGCACTAACTGAAGGCTGGTAGTTACCTTGAGTGTTCCGACTGGGTAAGAATGCCGAGGTATAAACCAAGTTTAGACTGCCATACTTTTAAAACATCACAGCCTGCCTTGCCTAGAACTGGTCTCTCTCTTGCCTAGAGCAGTGTTTATTAAACTTTTTTCTCTCAGGACCCCTTTCCCGTTCATATGGGTTATATATTTATCACTGTTGTTTTACCGTATTAAAGCTTATTACTACATCCACTGCCGCTACCGCTTTTCACATTTGTTCAATGGAATTTTAATATTGTATTATTTTTCAACATACGCTAGAAAATAATTTTGAATTTGCAAATCCTTGAGAAGTTCTTGGGATTCCCTCCCCCCCCCCCCGAGAGGTCCTAGGACTGCATGTTAAGAAACACTGGTCTAGGATGTGAACATTAGTTATTTTATTATTCAGCCGTCTGGAGTGTTTTGGCTTCCCTCACTGCTGTGTCTCTTGTGATTCGGTCCCCCTTCCCCACTCTGCCTCTTCAGGTGTCCAAGTCCATCTCAACCCCTGTCACGCCAAGCCCTGCTCCAAATCCCAGCCTCACCAAACGGATGAAGAAGAGCAAGCAGCCCTTGCAGGTCACCAAGGATTTGGGCCGCTGGAAACCCACCGATGATCTGCTACTGATCAACGCTGTGCTTCAGGTACTGAAATGGGCGTAGAACACCTGTCCCAGATGTTTCTCCATAGTGGCTCAGAAGGGCTATTTAAATCCTTTGGATGCCCTTCTTTTCTCAAGAAAACTAGAATCGCTTACATGAGGCTCCTAAGCACTTCCTTTCAAAATATGTCTGGAGACCATTCTCGTCCTCTTCCTGAATCTTTCTAATGTGTGCCTCTATCAGAACAGGTAGTCCTCAACTTACAACTGGTTGCTTAGCAACCAAAGCTACGATGGAAACCAGCCCCCGCCTCCCCCAAATTTAATGGGTAACCGCATGTTGGGTGCTCGGCAGCTGGCCTGCATTTACCGCCATTTGCAGTGTCTTGTGTCACATGATTGTATTTTACCATGTTTTTTTCCAATACCCGGCACTTACTTCCAGTTTTCAGCAAAACTGCTCCATAGTGAACAATGGGTTTGCTTTAAGACTGACGCATTGACTTTACAACTGCCACATTTGCTTAATGCAGGTACCATTGCGGTAGTAAGTCGAGGACTTACCTGTGTAGCCGGTATTGAAGCTGGTGGGTCAGTGGCCCAATTCAGTCCACTGTAGCTGCAGAAGTATATTAATTTTCTGAAACCATCCATTCCTCCTCAGCATCTTTTTGTAATCAGTTTTTGATTGCTTTATCCTTCAGTGGGTTCTGTTCCATTTAAGCTCAAAAGTGCTTAGAAGTCAATATAGTTGCCTCCTTCCTTCCTTCCTTCCTTCCTTCCTTCCTTCCTTCCTTCCTTCCTTCCTTCCTTCCTTCCTTCCTTCCTTCCTTCCTTCCTTCCTTTCTTTTTCCTTCCTTCCTTCCTTCTATTCCTTCCTTCCTTCCTTCCTTCCTTCCTTTCTTTCTTTTTTCTTCCTTCCTCCCTCCCTCCCTCCCTCCCTCCCTCCCTCCCTCCCTCCCTCCCTCCCTCCCTCCTTTCTTTCTTTCTTTCTTTCTTTCTTTCTTTCTTTCTTTCTTTCTTTCTTTCTTCAAACCTGACTATGTTTCCCCCACCCTAAAATTGAGAGCTCTTTCTCTTTCTCTCTGAAGACCAACGATCTGACCTCTGTGCATCTGGGAGTCAAGTTCAGCTGTCGCTTTAACCTGCGAGAAATCCAGGAGCGGTGGTACGCTCTCCTCTACGACCCTGTGATTTCCAAGTAAGTTTGGTCATATTCACACAATCCTGATTCTCAAAGAGGGAGAACAGAACTGTGGTGCAGGCTCCCACCCTCTTGTTTCCGAGATTAGGCAGGTGGCAACCCGACCTCACTGCCAGCTGAGGACTAGAAGCAGATCACTCTCTTAGGGGAGGCAAGCGTCCTGGTAGACTGAAAGACAAATGTGTGTTGGTTTAGTTTCCAGAGAACTTTCCTTTGTAGAGATCCTATATATCGGGGGTCTCCAATCCCCGGTCTGCGGCCTTATACCAGGCAATGGCCATTTGTGCAAGCGGCAGGCCCGTGCGTGAAACCATCCCCTCCTTCCCCCTTGCTGCCTGTCTGCAGAGCAGGAAATAATAGGGTACCGCTGCTATATGTTCTTATTTGGAAGTGAATTGTTTTGACTTAATAGATTCTACTTTCAAGCAGAATCTTGGAATAAAGGGTTACACGTGGCCGTGTATGTGGCAAAGTATATATTAGGTCTCTCTCTGCCATTCTTACTATTATAATGTCTTTCCCCATTCAGTATAGCTGGCACTGCTACTCTTGTATCTTTTCTTGCTAGGAAAGGGAACCCCTGAACCAATGGGGATTCATTGATTGCCAGGTTGGGGGGGTGGGGAAACGATGAAGATTCCCATCCCTTCTCCCACTTTATGTGCAGTTTCACAGCTGCTGAGAAGCAGTGGTGACTACCCCCTCGCATGATGGTTGATAGGGAGAATAGATAACAGATGCAATTGCACATGTGTCATCATCTGGGTGTCACTTCGTCTTGCTTACAGGTGCCATTGCCAACCGAGATCTTTTCTTCCATACCACTGGGATGTTATCTAACTTCTTGATCCGATTCTTGCAAATCGGATGTTAAAGTTTCTTCTTTCTTTGAGGAAGACGCAAGCTCAGTGTGTTCCAACTGAGGAGAGAAATTAAAGAGTCTCCAAGCAGCAGGCCTGGTCTGCTTGCACCAGTACCCTTATTGTCTGTGCTCCTGCTGGCTGCTTCCTCTGCAACCGTGGCTCCTGCTGGTGCATGGCTGTGTCATCTGGTTCCCTACTAGGCAGAGTGTCCAGGACAAGTCCAGAAGGCTAGTCAAGCTGAAAGAGGAAGAGAAGCTGCTTGTTTTCATTGAAACGGGTCATTTCCTGATTTAGATAACATTCCTGCATGTACTTCATCCATTCCTTCCACAGTTCTTATGTGACAGAGATAGCACGCGATGTAGTAAAAAGCAGAAAGTGGGATTTTACTATATATCGTTGAGGGCTTGATAGAAGCACAAGTGGAAGAAAGATGAAAGTAGCACAGATTCCAGATTTCCAGAGGGTTAAAGCAAGGTAGTCCAGCTTAAATATTGATACAGTGATGTTTGTTCTAGATCAGCATGTCTTCATAGTAGAGGTGAATACCTGATCATTGTAAGAGGTATTTTGATATTCTGCTTCCCAGTGCCTATTTTATTTTATTTTCTTAGGTAAAGAAGGGTTTTATAATCATGTGGCACTAAAGACTGGAATCCTACAAGTAGAAAAATAATAAAATTCTTAAAAATGACTGACAGGGAAGATGGTTTTAAGTCGAAAGAACTAGTTTCTGGTTCATCAGTGCTGGCATTAAGGTGAAATGTTGATTCTGACATCTCCAACTTTTCCTGAAAGAAGTCATCTTGCATTTCTTTGGAGTAAACATCCGGATAGCTTTCTAAAAGGCGGGAAATCCTTACATGCCACCTTTGAAAAAGATAGGATGCATATCTCAACCATTTGGGATTTAAATGTATTGGATTTGTTTACATGTTAAGAAAGAGACATTCAGTGTGTATAGCTTTGTTGTTCCTCTTTCCTCTTTTCCTGCTGGTCAAATGCTGCTGGAGACTCTGAGAGACAACAGTCACACTGAGTCAGGGAAGCCAAATGAATTTTTTGGTCTCTTTGTCTTCATTCCCTACAGGCTGTCTTGCCAAGCAATGAGGCAACTGCATCCCGAAGCCATTGCGTCAATGCAGAGCAAAGTGTTATTCAGCAAAGCGGAGGAACAGCTACTAAGCAAAGTGGGATCGGTAAGGAGCAATACCCCTGGGTGTCATATCCCCAGCCCTAGTAGCCCTGGCACCAGGGATAGGCAACCTTGGCTCTTTTATGACTCGTGGACTTCAACTCCCAGAATTCCTGAGCCAGCCAAGCTGGCTCAGGAATTCTGGGAGTTGAAGTCCACGAGTCATAAAAGAGCCAAGGTTGCCTACCCCTGCACAAAGCCAACCTGGGTATCTGAGAGCTCCTTTGTATCAGTCTTTAAGGCCTCACACGTTCTGCTTTTTCCCTCTGTAGCTCATGGCAATTTCCTCTTCTTAGTGCCCAGAAAGGCTTTTAATGAGAGTTATTCTTTGTTTCTGTAGTTAATACATAACAGTAGTGGCCAAAATTGTGGAAACCTTTTGGGAAAAGTGTATTTTTGGGGTTTGAAGGCTAATAACGCCACTTTTTTTTTGGAGTAGTACCATAAAATTATATATCAATGGAAAGATAATTTAATCAAGAATGTAATGCAACATAGTTTGTTTGTTTATTTATTTATTTATGAGACTTATATACCGCTTTAAGTGCAAGCACTCTCTAAGCGGTGTACACCAGTAAGCAATGTATATATATATTTACATTGCTCCCCAACAATCTGGGTCCTGTTCAATTATCTGTACTGTATTGTATGAAAAGTTACAGCCAAATAACGAGAAAAAGGAAGCCCAACTTGCTTAGGTTGATATCGGGTCGCTTTCCTTCATCTGATGGTAGCCAATGAGCATGAGTGTTTAGAGAGCCAATCAGGTGTCATCTTGTTTTGGCAATGAGCCAGTCAGATCACAGTAGGATTCAGTTATCGATGTCATGTGCTGAAGCTGAGAGGAGGACATTTGTCAGTGTGTTATGTGATCGCTATCAAGTTGGTTGGGTTTTTTTGTGTTCTTTCATTTAGTGAGCTTGTAAAACGTAATAAAATTAAAATAATGGTGCAAAGAGTTGACTGGTTGCCCAGAAAGCGATGTAAAATAGTATTATTAAGCGAACAAGGCTACAGTTATAAAGAAATTAGAAGAAAAATGGGTGGAAACTTAATCAAAGGTGGCATTTCTGCTGTACACTTTTCCCAAAAGGTTTCCACAATTTTGGCCACTACTGTATAATACAATGTCACAGGCCAGATTAGATCTGATACTATTGTAAATCTCACTTCTGTGGTCTTTTGGGAAATCTAAAGTTAGTAAAAGAAAAACAAAAACCCAAGCTTGAGTTAAATTTAAGCCTTATTAAGACCCTTAGTAGTGAAAATTATAATAAACGCCACTCTGTGTAATGAAGGCTTCCACTTTCACTCTCTTTCTGCTGTTCATCTAGACCAGTCAGCCTACTTTGGATACATTCCAGGACCTGCTGCACAAACACCCAGAGGTTTTCTACCCTTCCCGCACTGCCAAAGTCTTGCAGACCCATTGGCAGCTCATGAAGCAGTACTACCTTCTGGATGATCAAACAGGTAAGGCGGCCTGCTGGTTCCTTGGCTGAGGCTGAGGCTGAGCCTGGGGTTTGAATTCTAAGCTACCGTGTGCCCTCTCTGCAGTGCAGCCATTGCCCAAAGGAGACCAAGTGCTCAACTTCTCGGATGCTGAAGACATGATAGATGACAGCAAGCTGAAGTAAGTGAGAAGCTGGTAGATAACTCTTCCCCCCCCCATTTAAGCCATAGAGCCGTGGTGGCGAACCTATGGCACGTGTGCCACAGATGGCATGCAGAGCCCTCTCTGTGGGCAGGCGCGCCATCGCCCCAATCCTAGGCCTTCAGCTGGGTTTTTTGCTTTAGGCATCTGCCGCTGTGTGCAAAAAAAAGAAAAAAGGTTCAATCAATCAATCAATTTCAATTTCTCAGGGGAAAAAAAAGATCTCGCAAAGTTGGAATTGATTGATTGAACTTTTTAGTTCCACCCAGTCTGCCGTTACCACCGCAGCCATGCCCACCCAATGGGCCACGCCCACCCAATGGGCCACGCCCACCCGGCACCCAACGATACATAAGTGGATTTTGGGTTGCAGTTTGAGCACTCGGTCTCCAAATGGTTCGCCATCATTGCCATAGATCATTGTGCCACCAATGTAGCTGGGTTGACTTTAGGGTGGGCAAACATCCCTTCAGCATTTAGAGTGACAGTTTGAAGCCACTCCTGTTCCCTTCCACAGAGGACTGATTGAATGTTCAGGAATTGTGTTGCAATAGAACTTAGATCTGATGACAGTTATTGTCTAGTTTCTACAGCGCCTTTCTTCTATTTAAGTTCTCAGTCGTCCAGGTCATGGTTGTCCCAAAGGCGCTTTTTCAGGAGGCAACTGGAGTTGTTAATGTTTTTTTTTTGAGGACGTTTCGCTTCTCATCCTTCCGTTGCCTCCTGAAAAAGCACTTTTGGTGTACAGCGCCTTCCATTTCCATTCATTTTGCAGCCAGCATCCTGGTCGTTCTGCGAAATTCCAGTTGGGAATCGATAGTCATTTACTTTTTGAAGTTGTCTGCATTGCACCAGTGGCAGAGTCTTAATCTGACCCAAGGTGCATGCATACATGTTTGTAATAATGAAATTTAGAGTAGAACGGGAGCCAAGGCCAAACTGATACTGGAGTAATCGGTGGGCGGTCTGTGGTCTGCTTAACCTCCCGTTTCTCTCTTTCTCTCTACCCTTTTCCCCTTTCCCTATAGGGATGTACCAGATGAAGTGTTGGAACACGGTGAGTTAGATTTGGTTTGATAACCTGAAGCTATGTATGGACCGAATGGGAGCTTCCTCTTCAGATGACTGCGTTTTTGCATTATCGGCTTTGTGTGGTTCCGACTATTTTCTGTTCGGTCAAAACCCTGGGAAGTGCTAACTCAAAGGATTAGACTTCTGTGTTGGAAAGCTGTGGAAGAAAAGTAGGGCTGGACTTTATTTGCTTGATGGTCCAAGGAAATAGGGCCACAGGGCATCCTGCCTCCTTTCGGTAAGAACCTCTGAAGTTAGAAGCCCGACAGCAGCCGAGCCAAAAGAAGGAAGAAGCCTTGTTGGAGAGATAATAATAATAATAGTAGTAAAGTTGGAAGGGACCTTGGAGGTCATCTAGCCCAACCCCCTGCTCAGGCAGGAAACCCTACACCATTTCGGACAAAATGGCTGTCCAGTCTCTTCTTAAAAACTTCCAGCGTTGGAGCATTTACTGCTTCTGGAGGCAGGCTGTTCCACTGGTTAATTGTTCTCACTGTCAGGAAGTTTCTCCTTAGTTCTAGGTTGCTTCTCTCCTTGGTTAGTTTCCACCCGTTGCTTCTTGTCCTGCCTTCAGGTGCTTTGGAAAATATCTTTGGAGAGCTTAAAAGGCTAGGGTTCTTCAGTCGATTTCTGTCACGTTCTTGATTGTTTCCTGCAAAAAGGGGTGGAAGGAGCTGCCAGGGTTGAATGGTGGTGGGCAATCTAAAGAAGGGAATTTGGGGGAGGGGGAGAAACAAACCTAGGATTTCTAGGAGCCCCAAATTATCTTCACCTTCGTTATACAATAATGCCATTGCACTTCTCTATTAAACATGCGCTTTCCGTGGCTGTTGCCTTCCTCTTTGCAGAACTGACTGTGGCGGACCGGCGGCAGAAGCGTGAGATTCGGCAGCTGGAGCAAGAGCTGCACAAATGGCAAGTTCTGGTGGACAGTATAACAGGTGAGAAAAGTCTGCAGAGGCCTCCTTGTAGCGGGAAGAGGAGCCAGAGGATCTTGAAAGGACTTAGCTGGGAAGCCCAAGCTTGGAAACGGAAGTGGTATAAATCAGGGGGTTCCCTAAGCCCCCAGTCTGCAGGCTGGTACTGGCCTCGCGGCCCACTGGGAACAGATCCTTGCAGGCAGTGGGCGAAACATGCGAAGCTCCCTTTGCACATGCGCGGGATTAGGTTGAGCACGCGAAATCATCTCCTTCCCCCTCCCCCCCACTGCCGGTCCACGGAAAGGTTGGGGGAGCACTGGTATAAATAACGCCCAAGCACGATTTATTTATTTATTAAACTTACACGCCAAATGCAACTCTAACCACTAGCCCAGTGGTTCTCAACCTGTGGGTCGGGACCCCATTTGGGGTCGAACGACCATTTCACGGGGGTCGCCAAACAACGCAGTCCGCCATTTTTTCCCCCTTTTCCTTAGCTGTGCTACTCCCTTTTATTCTATTGGCTTTTGAAAGCCAATAGAATAGACTCTCTTGAATAGAGTCTAATTCTATTGGCTTTCAAAAGCCAATAGGAATTGTCCAGGCTGTCTCTGTCCTGCTGAGCCCGCCAAAAGTCCCATTCTGCAAACGGTGCTGCACCAGTTGAGTAGTCCTCGATTTACAACCGGTTAGGTGTTTGCGGCATTAAAAAGGTTGAGAACCACTGCACTAGACACTTTTCTCTTGCCCAGCTCGCCAAACGGTTGGCCCCGTTTCCCAAAACCTCGCTGGCCTATTTGACTCTGTTTCTTCCTGCCAGGGATGAGCTCCCCTGATTTTGATAACCAGACCTTGGCTGTGCTGCGTGGACGGATGGTACGCTACCTCATGCGCTCCCGGGAGGTGAGTTCCGTTTTTTCATTTAGCCGGGCCCAAAACTAAGGAGGTGAACGTATTCCCGGCTTGGATCAAGGAGAGGAAGTTGAACCCTTTTTTTTTCAATCATACAAATGAGCTACCCACAATCGAGCTGCATTTGATTTTGAGGTACGCAGCCTATCTGTTTGTTCTGAAAGGTTGAAGACTCCTGGGCTATTTCAGTGAGAATGTTTTGACAAAAGAATAGTTTTTAATTCAAGAGGTACTGTTATTTTTTTTTTTAATTCTTTTTCCAGACAGTGAAAGATAACATTATACTGGCACGGGAGTGGAGAATTAACATTGGTTCTTGATTTTCATTCCTTTACTGTTAACACCCTTAATTTACTTTGTGACAAAGTGAAAGCCTGAGAACCCGAGTTCTTAGTGTAATTTTCAATCCTGTGATGAACTTCACTTTTTTTCACTTAGTTTGTCTCCATGCCATCATCTGGACTTTTAGAAAAGTCAGCTTTTGCAAAAACAGAAACAAATGTATTGGGTCAGTTCACCCGATTCATTTTGATCGCTGGTGCCAGCAAAAACCCTGCTATGCTTACTATGCAAAGTGAATTTTTTTTTTTTTTGATCTAATTTCCTTTTCTAGATCACGCTTGGCAGAGCCACCAAAGACAATCAGATTGATGTAGATCTGGCACTGGAAGGCCCTGCTTGGAAAATCTCCCGCAAACAAGGTACCGGAATTGATTCTTGCCTCTGAATTATTGGAAAAAAACAAACAAAAAACTTTTGAGCGAGATGTCTACAGCCACGGTAAGGTAGCATTATTATCAGGAACCAGATCCCAGAGTCTTGCTTGTGGTTCCTGAGACACTAGCTTCACCTTGCAAGATGCCTGAGAATTTTTTTTTTTTTTTTTTTGGCCAGGATAAACAGCTGTTTTTAAAATTTGAAAGTTAGTACAAAAGTAAGATGATGTTTGCCCGTCCTGATGAGCCTATGAAACTTTTGAGGCATTTGTTGGAATCCTGTGAACCCCTAGCCAGCTCTGCAGTTTTTCCTCATACATTTATTATCCGCATGTGAAAAGTACATTTAGGTAGTCCTCGATTTACAACCGTGACCGAGAATGGAATTATTGTTGTAAATTGAGGCATGATTTGAGCTGATGTTTTTTTTTTAGTGGTTGTTATGCAAATGCCCTAGTCGTTAAGCGAACGCCGTGCCTAAGCAATTCCATTTTATCCAATGGGCATTTTTTTTTGTCAGAAACTGGACGTAAACGTTGCAACCTGGCTATAGCATCAAAAACCACAGTCACATGACCGCGGGATGCTACGGGTGGCTATAAAAGGGAGCTGATTGCCAAGAACCCAAAGTGCAATCACATGACCGGGTAGATGGGTGTGCATCTGTCATAACTTTGAAATCAGGTCATAAGTAGCTTTTGAGTTTTTTTTTGGGGGGGGGGAAATGTCTGTCATAACTTTGTGAGTCGAGGACTACCTGTATTCAGTGGCCTTTTTTCGGGCTGCATAGTTTGAGAGTCTTCTCTGGGCGGGAGATTGCCTCTTTAACTTTTGAAGATAAACAGTTTCTCAAGAAAGGTCAACATGTTCTCTAAAGGCAGTGCCACGGTGGCTGTGGCCTAAATTCATGTGGTTTGGGACCCAGTTACCTTCCATCATGGCTTTGTTCTCTTCCTCCTGGGAAAAGCCCAGGTCACCTTAATCTCTTCCTAAATGCACACAGGTGTCATCAAGCTGAAGAACAACGGGGACTTCTTCTTGGCAAACGAAGGCCGACGACCCATTTATGTTGACGGACGGCCAGTACTTTGTGGCAGCAAGTGGAAACTCAGCAACAACTCTGTGGTTGAGGTGAGCAGGGGCTGGCTGTGCTTTGTAGCAGAAAAAGTTGGGAGTTAGGTATTGTCTCCTTCCCTGTAGGATGTATCCCTCTTGTTCTAATCTTTTCTTTTTTAGAAGTGGGAAGACTGGGAAATGAGAGCTCAGATTAAATTAAATAGCATTTCTTGCTAATGGATGTTGAATCGGTAATTTTTATTCTTTGTGTTAATTTTAACTTGGTTTTGTGGACTTATTATACTAAAGTATTGAGATCTTTATATTGGCTGTTGTTCTGCTTTACCTGTGTGTGTTTTTTTTTAAAAAAAACATTGAATTGCTTAGAATTAACTTGAAGTGGCCAGAATATAAGTATTGCTATAAATTTTGTAATAATAGCCAGGGCAAATTACCAGTGGGTCTGTGGCAACCTTGGCTCTTTTATGACTCATGGACTTCAACTTCCAGAATTCCTGAGTCAGCTGGGAGTTGAAGTCCATGAGTCATAAAAGAGCCGAGGTTGCCTACCCCTGGTCTATCCCATGCTTACAGCCTATCTGCATGGACTCAGCTGAGCCCAGATGCTAACAGCCTTCATCAATGTGGCACCTTCAGAGGGGTTGGGACTGCAGCTCTCAGATGGGGAGGTGGCATTAAATGGAGGGCCAGCTCGTGTTCCCTCCTGGCCAGGAAGGAGGACACACGAGTGACTTTAGCCTAAGAACCTTCTAGTTAGCTGCCATTGAAGATCTCCACACTGGTGGAAAAACCCCTCAAGGTGGCTCATGTCTTAATTGGGTATGAAAGCAGAATCTATACCAGGGGTAAGCAAACGTGGCTCTTTTATGACTCGTGGACTTCAACTCCCAGAATTCCTGAGCCAGCCATGCTGAGGGGAAAGGGAGAGGTTTCCAAGCTGAGCCATGCTGGCTCAGGAATTCTGGGAGTTGAAGTCCACGAGTCAGAAAAGAGCCAAGGTTGCCTATCCCTGAATTCTATACAAACAAACTGATTTAATTCTATTCTCCCTCCCTCCCTCTTTTTCTAGATTGCCAGCTTGCGCTTTGTTTTCCTCATCAACCAAGATTTGATTGCTCTTATCAAGGCAGAAGCTGCCAAAATTGCCCAGCCCTGAGGCTTGGATCAACCCAAAGGACCCCACTCCTTCCTCCAGCGGGAACTGCTATTTTCTTTGCTGCTAATGCAGCTTCCTCCAGTTTGCCTCCTTTGAGGCTAGGACACAAAGCAATCCTGGGCCTTTAAGCATAGAGGGACTCTTGTTTCGTGCGTGCACATGCTCGGCCACTGGAGAGAGAAGGGGGGTGGGTGAGGGTAAGAGACTTGGGCTTAAAACAGAGCCCTTTGGCTAACTGAAGCCCTTTGCTGAGTACCCTGGCTTGTGCGAGAAACGGCTTACTGCTTCTATTGACTATTGCGCTTGACTCTCTTTGGGACAGAGTGACGAGATTTTTCAGGCGTGGATGTGGGGAGAGCCAATGTCAAGCTAATATAATAGTGATCAGTCCTCTCATCGGCACTGTGTTAGTGTCCTTTCTAGATGTTAGTTTTTCAGGTATTGTCCACTAGAATCTCAGTTACTTGGGTATGAAAGAAAAAGAATGATTTATTCCAAATAAGGTTGGTTATAAAAATAGAGGTCCATCTGTTCCTGTTTATGTGGTACAATATTATTACTTATCAGGGGTGTTGACAGACTAATGAGCTATTTTAGCTTTTGGCACGTGCCTCCTCAGTGCAAGCGCATCCTTGCCTGTAACTGTAGGGTAGAATAAGCTTACCAGAATGTTGTCAGTCATAGTTTGATTGTTTGGGGTTTTAAAAGCAATGGAAGTAAATCTTAATTATTTAAAATGCAGCCTTTGCATTGCTACCTTTTAAAAAAAATCTAGCTTTTGTGTCCATTAAAATGTCTTGTGCAACAGTGTAGACTGGCTAGTGGCCTGAATTGAACCGGCGGTGAAGTTTATTGCAGAATCTTCTTTTCCATATATTTTTATAACTGAAGTTTGCGATTTTCATTTAACTGTGGTAGTGGCTCTACATACCGTGATTTAGCATGGGAAAGGTTGCTCGCGAGCCTCATAAGGACCACACCTGAGCAACAGCAGTTCATCCATTAAACAGTCGGAGTTCAAAACATACTTTTTATTTTATAAAAAGGGTGCCCAGCTCCACTCTTAACTAGGACTGGGGATAGTCTTGGACCTGCCTTCCCGTTTGAAAATTACATGCTCAGGGGGACTTTCCACTCCAATTCCACTCACTATCCCCACAGCAATGTCTAACAATCCAGCTGCCTGAAGGAAGGTTGTCTAAAATGGAACCATGTACAAATATGGGTACGTTTGCATATTTCAAGCTGTGATGCATGGATGTATTCCCTAGCCCACGTAACCACTCAGATGGACCAGGTTTGGCTTTTGACAGTAGAAACTCTTAACAGCAGCTTGCAGTTATCTACTTTTGTCGAGGCAAAAGGTGCCTTACTGTCCCAGGGTGTTTTGTGGCGTTTGCTGTCTTTTTCTTCTGTCTCCATCATGAGGACAATCACAACTCTGTCTCAACCTTGGAAGAGCTGACTGTAGCCTTTCTCTGTTGTGTTCTCTGTCCCCTAACATGGGGGAGCATCCGGACCCATAAGAGAAGGGCTAATCCTTGATATTCCCAGGACAGAAAAATCCCAGTGCCTTGATCTTTGTGTACTCAGTTGTGCTCAGCACGCTCATATCCCTGTCCCTTCTTCCTGTATCCAGCAGGGCCCGCTGCACGTAGAACCATCATCCCCAGCACCGATCAGCACCATCTCAAGGCTGGAGGAATCACAGTCTTGAGTCCTAGAAGGTTTGGTTTCTGGAGAGCTTGTATGGCATGCTGGATCTGTGGCGGGGCAAGCTTGGGGCAGAGAGCTCTCTCTTTGGCTCAGGTTTGGCATTGGCGTGTTGCTCCCTTGGTCCTTGGGGCCGTGACTAGAGGGGGAAAGCACTCCTGCCTCAGAATCCCTCGCTCGGCGTCCCAGGGTCCAAAACGTGCCAGGCCAGGGAGAGCTCTGCCCAGCTGGAGGGGCCCACATCCACTGAACTCTGCCACAGGCTCCATTAGGGCAGGGTGCCGGTGGCGCACTGTGGGAGCAGAAAGCTGGTGAAAGTCCTGTGTCGACCCTGAGGGGGCTCAGCAGAGGCGTAGTAGGAGCATCCGAGTAGGGGAAAGGCCCACAGGCAGAAGGATCGACTCGCTGCTGGGCTGGTGTCTGGGAGAGAAGGAAGAGCTGGACAGCCTGGCGCAGAGAGTGCAGGCCCTCCCGCATTTGCTGAACTTGCCCGGAGAGCTCGGCCACCTGGGAAACGAGGCAAAGGAAATGAGGTCATTTGCTCACCTTTCTACTTAGACCGGAGCCCTCTCTGCTTAAAAAATTGCTTTTCCAACTACTGTAATGCCTAGAATTTTTAGTAGTTCTGGCGATAGATCACTAGGCCTCTGGAAACATGCAGGACCAATTGGGGAGAAAAGAAGGAAGTGGTGTACTTTTTCTCGCACCCGTTTTTGGCCGTTGAACGGTTTGATCTTGGACTTTGGGGTGGGGGGTGGGTGGCTCATCCCAAAGAAATACCGGTAGCATGAAATACACTCTTCAAACGCTTTGGACTGTGGAATGGCAGAAGAGACGATAAAAGCTCTGTTTGCTCGGGTGATAGTCCTGTATAGGTTGCCTAATTGGGGAAGGTATTGGAGAAGGTAGTAGGACTGCTACTTCTCGCAAAGAATGCTGGGTGAAGCAGCTGATCTACATCCCTTTCAGTCAGGCTTCAAAGAGGACCGAAACCGCCCTGGGTGGTTTTGAGGATGCTTTTATTGGGACCAAGCTGGGATTTGCTCTCAGTGGTGTCAAGTACATCACCTGTGGTATCTTTCTGGACTGCTTGCAGGAGTTAGGAATGGGAAGCACTGTTTGGCCTCGATCCTGGGGTTCCAATCTGATAATTGGAGGGGGGGGGGAGCAGTTGAATTTAATGGTCATTCTGGGTGATGTTGTAGGACTCAGTCCTTTCCCCAAATTGTTTTAACAGCTACATGAAACTGCAGGTTGGTTTGGATTGAGGCATCATAACAATTATAGATCCTTACTGCCCTTCCAGGCTGGCTGGGTGGGAGGGAATTAAATAATTCCCTGTTTTTGACCAATTATGTTCTGTAAGGCTTGAGCCCATGTTTGTCTACCTGGCTGCCTTGCCTGCGTACAACACCCTTATCCCATAATCGGCTCAGGAAGTGATGGGGGGGGGAGAGAAAGGGAGGGCTTGGAAGCAAGTTTTTTTTCTTTCTATGATGACCTTGTCATTCAGGAATACCCTAGCTCCAAAGGCCAGATCGCCTTCATTCTTCGAATTTAGGAAAATTGCGAACAAGCCGTTTTGTCAAGTCTTGAAAGGAGGGTTTAGAATGCTTATTGCATTTTTAAAAAATCTGGTTTTAGCTTTTAAAAGATGACGAATATCGTTTTTATTTAAGCTCTCTGGGGTATGTGAAAATAGGTAAGAGATAAATTATATAAGGTAGACTATTCAAAAGGTAAATCATGAGTCCATGTTTTCAGAAAATCGTTTAAATCTACCATTCTCTGCAGAGATTGTTTTCTAGACCACTGTTTTGAGATTTCCAAGGGCAGCCTGCTCATATGTAGTCTGCTTCCCTGCTGAACAAAAAGCAAGGATGCGCCAGGTAAACATCTCTCCAAAGCAACCTTGGCAACTTAAGACCTGAGGACTTCAACTCCCAGAATTCCCCAGCCAACATCGCCGCAAGGCTGTCTATATACAAGGCTGTTTTTGAGCAGGCTGCAAATGGCAGGCAGACACACGTCAAGGGTGGTAGAGTAATGCTATCAAAAGTACAAACTGATTATCTGAGGTAAATAAAGCCTTACCGCCTGGCGCAGTTTCTCGATGGTGTCTGCACCAGATAACTCGGGAGGGATAGTGGGCAGGCCGCTGTCTGGAAGAGGAAAAAAATGGAACAAACTGACGAAAGCCACAAATTCATCCTTCAAGTGCTCTGTTTCTTTTTTTTTTTCAAACAAGTTTTATTAATTTTTCAAATTTTTACATCCAGATACTTAGGAAGCAGCGTGGTGATCGGGTAATCAGTCAATAACAAAACCATTCATATATATCTCAGGTTACATCAATAATGTTCCCTCACTATTTCCCACAAATATATCATATTCGTATTAATAAATTTCTAACTAAAGCTCAATCAATCAGTACATTTATCAATAATATTTTAATTATACATATCCAAGTCCTGTTTTGGGATTTTATTTAGTTCCAGTTTATATATTCCAATTTAGCCTTTTATAACCAATGTTTAAGCTTCGGATAACCTTAATTTCCCTCATTTCATTATAAGATAATTAACATAACTAAAATACACATCTTATTCCAAAATTCCTTCTTTATAGACAAATATATTCTGATTCTCATTCTAATAACTCCTCATTTAATAGCAAAATATCTGTGCTCTGTTTCTTAGTCAACCCCTTTGTGATCCCTTCCCCGCACGATGCCGAATATTACCTGTTCCAGGGGAAGGGCTGCTGTAATCCGGTCCCGATGGGCCAAGGCGGAAATTGAAAATAGGTTTGTCTGAACTGGACCCGTCCTCAATTCCATCTACAACTCTTTTAAAGAAGGGTTGAAAAATCAGCAAGCGTTTCAGAAAAGAGGAGGCGCATGGAGGATCTGTGTTTCAACAGTAACCTCTGACTGCCAACGTGGGGGCTTTCTATAGTGCCCCCATTCCCAAAGCTGGCCTGCACCTCCTTTGCATCCAGCGGCCTTACCTGGGGCTGAGATCTGGGGGGCCGCTGCAGGGCATGCTGTGCAGCCTCAATGCTGTAGGACGCGAGGAAGTTTCGGAGGCCACGTGGCGCGGAAGTCCTGACCGTGAGGGCAGCTGGCTGTGGCCCCCAGAAGACTTGGGGAGCAAGGGGCTGGAAGGCTCATCCTCTATCTGTGTAGGGAAGCAGGGCATTCTGCGGCGTGAAGGAAATGAAATCCCTGTGTCCTTCACCACCGAAAGCAAAGTGTCAGGTTCCTGGCTGCTCGGTGACGGCGACTCTGCCTGTGGTGGAGGGAGACGGTGAAGGGACCCTTGCCTTTCCCATTACAACTGCCTTTCTCTCTAGAATCGGGAAAGGACTAGCCAAAGGTGTAAAATATATTCCTCCCATTGAGTTATCCCTCTCATTGGCAAATGATTCTCTTTGCCAGTTCCTCCCCCCGTTTGCCCATCTCTGGTTTTTAGAAACAATTGCTCTAAAGATTCAGAATCCACTTGATTTCTTTTTTCTTCGCCTAAGGGCTGGTTTGAGCCTGGAATCATTCATATAAATATTAGGAATTAACAGCATCATCAGGACGTCCTGTGCAAGCTATTCATGGCTGTCAAAAGTTCCTGAACAAAGGTGGGATACAATTCAAACTGGTGCATTAGAATAGCTGGAAAGGCATGGAAGCCCATTATCACCAGTTTCCCCAAGTCCATCTAAGTGGGTTAAGATTTGGATTGGTCAGTAGATTTTCTTGTTGACACTGAGCGACTCTGGAGCATATACTGAAGACCTACCCAGCTGTATAGTTACTCCTTTCTTTTTAATGGCAAGTTGGAAGCCCAAGAAAAGCATGCTACAGAGTTACCCTCTTCTAGGCTTTGTGGGTTCTATGTTGGCTCTGTGCAGATATATATTATCTTTTACTAATATCAAGTAAACCAGCTCTTTTTTAAAATTTTGTTCTCCCATTTTGCATTTGGATTGGATGTCCAACGTATAGTATCAGAGTGCCAAAATAAAGCCCATAATGGAGACTTGGCTGATTTCCTGTCTGTGACTAATGAGGCAAACAATTTTATCTGCAATCTAGACATGTT